TTTAATGCATCGATTAACAAAATATTTTTGATCAAAATTCCTTGATGATGCTTTCGATATGAAAGTTTCAACATTCACAAACTCAATTTCCGCAACTTTATGGCAAAAAATAGACACTTTTTAGCTTCCGTGGCATTTGAGGCGTTTATGCTTGAACAAGAGAGTCTAAGAAAACTTGCAAATCGTTACTTCATCTATCGGTCAAGGGAAGATTTTAGATAAAACCGCATGATGATGGTCTCTAAACGAAACTTTCACACATCATAAGTTCAATTTTTTTAGTTTTGCATAAAAATACACAATTTTACGGGTTTCGGGGGCTTTAAAGACTTCTTCAGTAAAAACTGCTTGTTTAATGCATCGATTAACAAAATATTTTTGATCAAAATTCCTTGATGATGCTTTCGATATGAAAGTTTCAACATTCACAAACTCAATTTCCGGAACTTTATCGCAAAAAATAGTCACTTTTTAGCTTCCGTGGCCTGTGAGGCGTTTATTTTTGAACAAGAGAGTCTAAGAAAACTTCCAAATCGTTGCTTCATCCACCGGTCAAGAGAAGATTTTGGATAAAACCGCCTGATGATGGTCTCTAAACGAAACTTTCACACATCATAAGTTCGATTTTTTTCGCTTTGCATAAAAAATGCACAATTTTACGGGTTTCGGGGGCTTTAAAGGCTTCTTCAGTAAAAACTGCTCGTTTATGCATCGATTAACAAAATAGTTTTGATCAAAATTCCTTGATGATGCTTTCGATATGAAAGTTTCAACATTCACAAACTCAATTTCCGCAACTGTATCGCAAAAAATAGTCACTTTTTAGCTTCCGCGGTCATTGAGGCGTTTATTCTTGAACAAGAGAGTCTAAGAAAACTTCCAAATCGTTGCTTCATCCATCGGTCAAGAGAAGAATTTTGGATAAAACCGCCTGATGATGGTCTCTAAACGACACTTTCACACATCATCAGTTCAATTTTTTACTTTTGCATAAAAAATACACAATTTTACGGGTTTCGGGGGTTTTAAAAGCTTCTTCAGTACAAACTGCTCGTTTAATGCATCGATTA